TATATATATATATATGTGTGTGTGTGTGTTTGTGTGTATAAACTTTTTTCTGGCAAGCACCCAAACAAACCAGTGTTGTTTACTCCATAACTGAACTGTTGCAAATGCTTAACAAGCCAACTGAAGCGTAGTTAAGAGATGAACGTCCTGGGGTTTCATCATTTCCCTGAGCACTGCACAGTCTGACCTCGGGGTGAATATGATGGGACATCCATTTCTGGGAAGGCTGGCGGCCATCTTGAATGTTTTTCACGTGGGAATAATCTTTGTCAGTGTGAAAAGTGCGACTCCAAATGGTTTCAATTGGACTTTTTGACTTTTCTCACATAGATGAGCTGCAACAGTTGGTTTTCTAAGATCACTGCTGATGTCTTTCTTCCAGGTGTTGTGTTAATACATGTCTGAATGTTCCAGAGCAGCAAATCTAAAAACCTCAGCTTCTTGTTTTTGCTCGCTAAATTAGAAATCACTAAAACGCATTTGATGAGTAGAGCTTGGCTGCTACTTACCCACATAATTTCTACAAATGCAGTAGTGGTTTATTTAGTTAGACTTTTTAATGCACTGCTTCTGCATTTTGGCTTCATTTCTTGCAAAATAAATAATGACACAGTGTGATATGCAGGGCTGTCAAACTTGGAAGGAAGTCTAGGTGAACGGCCTTTGGCCAAAAGCATTTTTGATTTCCCGGAGTGGCCAAAAACTGACATAAACCAGTATGTTTTTCATAGCCGGCTCATTTGTTAATGTCTCAAATCTGAATTCATGCGTACCTAAACACAAAAACTGAACCTTTCATGGCAGCTAAATAAAAGTTATTTTAAGGAAAAGTTTTAATGAAACCAAATGATGTGAGGATCACCTTGAGGAGAAAAACAGTTTAATATTTCTCCTGGATTTAAAATGACTCCTTTCCACCAGGTTCATACAAAGTAAAAGTTGAAGGAAAAAGTTTATTTAAAAAAAATACTACAGTAATTTCTTTATGTACCTACTGTAAATCAGGGTTCCTACAGCTAAAGGTAAGTAAAATTTGAGACTTTTTAAGACCTAATTAAAACCACTTGAAATGAAATTCAAGACCAACTTTATAATAATCGCAAATGGGAAAAACCCAGTTGATAATTTTAGCCAAACATTTATTTTAAAACAAAACAACGAGCTGCGAGAGGCAATCCGTAATTTATTTAAAAAAAATGTTACCAGTTATTTTAATATTTGAGATGATATCCAATCCTACAATGTTTTAACATTTTTAAAACCTCTGAAAGATTGATTTAAGACAGGCCTTATTGCTGAATTGATAAATACAATGCCTTTTAAGGATCCACAGGAACCCTGTAAATAAAACGTTATATGTAATTAGAGGGTTTTAGTCGCAGGATGGGCCTTTCCTGATGGAGTTTTATTAGACGGGTTTTTCAGCAGCAGGAAGGTTTTTCATGCTGGAATTGCTTCACTGCTGTTGGGTCATAATTTTTCCATAAACTCTTTCCAAAATGGACTGTTTTCTTCAATAATGAGGTCCCTCATTCTGTGCTTGAGGCCACCACCAATCATGTCTCTCCATAAAAATACGTAGCCATCAGCGATGCGTTGAAACCAACAGCGTGGACCAAAAATGCTTTAGAGCCAGAACCTTCACCTTCCAGAGTAAGACTCTTCAAAGCTGCGACTGTTTGCTGAGATTCGGCCAAGAGATTAAACTAAATGTTTCATATTGGCTGGAACTTAAAGATGCTGCACACAAACCTCAAAACTGATATCTAAATATTTTGGGGATTTAATTCGTTTGCTCAAAAACCAGTAAGTCAACATGCTCGTCCACCTTACCCCATTATTAAAGTACGTGTCTAAAACATTCAGTCCACAGTCCCTCCTCTTTTCATCCGGGGCTAGCTGGTACATGGCCTGTCAGGAAGAAAAAAAAGCAGAAATGTGAGCAACCACACCAGGCCAAGATCATTCATCCATCTTTAACATGTTTGTCCAAATAAGGAGAAACACAGGCTGAAGGGAGGGCATATATAAAGAAAAGGATGGTATGTTTTAAAACAACAAAAAGGAAATGAAAATAGAAATGAGCATGAGACTTCAGAGTGATGTTAGGAGGGACAAACACTTCATCTTGCTCAGGGATGCAAACTTGAAATCACGTTAATCTTCTCATTCTAGCACAAAACAAGATGACGCCTCATTTTTTTGATCACAGATTGTGTTTTTGGTTAAATATGACCGTACGTGGGGGGAAGCTGCTCTGAAGTTTGACCACCTCAAGTCATCTGTTTGGTTTGAAAACAAGCTCTGCAGAGAAAAACAGGACTGGGCCGTGTAGCTATGCATCACAGCAGAGACATGCTGTCCTGGAGGGGTGGGAGGTGGACTAGAAGCCCATGTTCTGAAGAGTTGCTTGAATTTTGTGGATTTTTTGCAGCCAGTGTGAGTAAATGAAGCTTCCAGAGCTTGCATCTGTCTACGCTGAATCTCAGTAATGTAGGTCCTCATTAACACCTCCCAGTTTTCCTTTCTCGCATACCACCAGGGGCCTAGGCACAAGCTCGGGCCTGTGTTTGCCTGCTCACCCAGGGGACCTGCCTCTGACGTGGGCTTGACCTCATGGAGGAGTGCAAAGAGGAAGGGGAGGGGTCTGCATTCTGACAGCCCGTCTAAGTCGCTAATCACCCCTCTACGCCCACCCCGCCCTCCAACCCACGCTGCTGCTAAGAGCAGGCACTGATTTCTCCTCTCCCATTTCTTGCTCTGCAGGCTCTGGTTGAGGCCGGCCTCATGGGAAAGACCACTGACAGATGGAGAACATGAGAAAAACAGAAACAGGCAAACACAGACGGGGGACGTAAAAAGGGAGCTACGAGGGGTGGGGCAGACATTAGAGCATCGAATAATAAGTGTAAAAGTCTGAAATTTACAGACTTACCACAGCATCCATGAACTCGATGCAGCGCTTCAGCTCCGGTCTTGTGTCACAGTACTGACGGAATAACAGACGACCAATCGGCTGCTTCTCACAGAGACTGGAGAAGTCCCTCTCTGAGAGGACGATGACGGGAGAGAAGCAGACATGTAACACATGAGAGCTGGGATTATATGATACAACCGTTCATTTCATACGAAGAGGTGTCAAAAGTATTCACTACTTAATAATATAAGTAGAAGTATAGATACTAGGGTTTAAAAATACTTTTTTTTGGAAGTAGAAGTATCAACTCCAGCTTTTTACTCAAGTAAAAGTATAAAAGTACTGGTTTTAAATCAATCTAAAGTATAAAAGTAATGAACACTTAAAAAAGCCATTAAGGATAAAAGCTTAGTTTGTGCCACAGGGTTGTATAGTGTGTGTATACCCCCCCCCCCCACACACACACACACACCTCCTCCCATTTTTCTTCTAAAGTCAATAATGAGTCTAATGTTAAATTAAAATGTTAATGTTGAAAAATTTGGAATTAACTGACTCGACTAGTTGTTTCAGCCACCATCATCTTCATTCTAGGCTACATCTGCTACAGCAGTGTTTCCCAAAGTTGGGGTCGGGACCCAAAGTGGGGTCCCGAAACATCAAGATGGGGTCCTGAAAAGATTTTCTGAATTAGTTACATTTTTGCCTTCGTTGTTACAAAGGAGTGAGGTCAGTGTATTTAAAATGGATAAATGTAGTATAAAAATATTTTTACTAAGCCCATGTTTAGTTGACCTGATACAAATGTTTATCATCCAAAAATAGTTGGGGGCACAGGTCTCTGCTGCTGTTATTTTGTGGGTCAAAAGCTGAAAAGTTTGGGAAGCACTGTGCTACAGTCTGTCCTGCTGGAATGTGATGTGGTTTGTGTCATCCAGGTGTGACGGAGTGAGTTCAATCCAATAAGATGTCAGAATGGTTTATATTTACACCTCTCGTCCAACCACAATCAAATTCACTCTATCCAAGGGCTCCATGTATCTGGATAGATTTCTTTTTATTTATTCTTTTCTGAACAATGAAAAAATGGAATAAAAACAAGTCAAAGTTAAATAGAAATAAAATACTTTTTGCATTATTACGAATTAAGTAGAAGAAAGTACAGATAATTGGCAATAGCAGATAACAGATACTGGCAATAGCCACGCTGTAGGAGGGGGACAACTGAAAACGGAGGCCTCCACCTCTGTTTAATGAGGGGTTGCTTGTATTCAAGACAAGCAACTCGAGTGTGATTCGCAATGCTGTCGTTGCTATCATCGTGTCCCATGTGGGTTTCACCCAGGTGATGGTGACTGCCACCTGTCGCCATCTTGAGCCCTTTACAAACCTAAGAACTGAAAAGCCCTGCGAAGGGTTACAAGATGAGTATCCTATGAAATGAGTGAAGGAAATAACCAATGCAAATTTGCTGCATGAGTGTTACTTTTTTCTCGTATTCATCTCCTGGCTCTGAAATAAGATTTATTTGTAGTGAAGGTAAGGTGTTCCGTTTGTCTGTAATGTTAGCAAAATATCTTGTGAACCACCTACTTTATAAACAAACAAGAGATTGCAGTAATTATTGAAAGTTTGATCATGTTAAAAACAGGTCAGATTACACAGTCTAATAAAATGTCCTCCTAAAAGCAGCAGAACTTTACAGTAAATTGCCACAAACACCAAACATGCTGTCCATGTTTTCTGTTAGTGTGTCAGCATGTTTTTCCTGTGCAGCTGGTCCCTTCTTATTAGCACTAATGGTGCCCATTTGACTCATATTTCCTCTTTTTTTTTGCCAAATGAGGAAGAAGAACCAGGACACTGGATGACAGTAAGGACAGATGCACACAAGACAAACATGCGAACAGACAGGTAACCACGCATGTGGGAAAAGACGAGGAAGAGGAAGGATGCTGGGAGAGTGTTGACACCTACTGCACGTGTAGTTAATAAATCCTCACAGTACCACGCCCTAATGCTAGATTATGGCTTTTAAATAAAAATCTTAACAGCATATTTAGAAATGTCTCCTTTTTCTTGGAACTTCTACAACTGATTAACTTTTAGAGTCAATTTAAGCAGCTATTTAGCATTAGCAAAAATAGCTTTAACTCAGTTAAATATTTGATGTGATAGCAGCTGAGAGTCATTCACACTACATCATTTGAGCACTAACAGATCATGAAATTTTCTAAATTCCTGCATGAATGGGGGCAGGTGACGTGGACTCCTCCGAGGAATGCTGGGCCTTTTTATTTTTATAAAGGGGGTCATCTTTTCACCCTCTTGCTACAATAAACAAATCACTGATGACTAATCAAACAGGGAAGCACTTGCAGATGTGCAAAAGTGACACACTGACTAATCAATTCTCTGAAAAGAGTTTTTATTTTTATTTAACCTTTATTTAACCAGGTAGATCAGCAGCAGCACACAGACATTACAAAATTCAAAACTACATATATTAACCTACATTAAAATACTTCATGATAAATAAAAGAATGAAAGAAATGAAAACTGATGACTGCTTATCTAAAACAGACACTGATTAAATCACAAAAGAAACTTGATGATCTCAAACAACCTCGATGGAGCAACTTACTGCTGGAGCCAAATATCATCTATTTAGACATTTGCTGGTTGAGTCAAGTGAATTACAAACTGTGGCATATTTGTTACATCAGTGTGTTAAATGAAAAAATTCTGCAGTAAATATATCGTTGCTTCAACAAGTGTAAGAATAAACAGCATTTTGTGTTTTTTTATGTTGCCTATTCTCTCTTAACTTCACTTAATATCTTTTGTGCACTGAGAAACTCATAAACCCGTTTCTCCTTTGGGGATTATTAAAGTTATGCTACAAGTTTTGTTTGTTTTCATATTATTGGTACAGAGAGGACTGGGACTTGGCAACAATTACTCTCTGGGACATAAATGATTTCAGTGGCCATGTTTTCATAACTAGCTCTATAAACATTTGTTCTATAAAAACACAACCATTTTCCTGTAAGAACAACCGCCAAACTGACTGACAAAAATTAAACCCAACACAATCCAGATGCAATGAGACAACTTTTAAAAACAAAATATGACCCCAGCTTTGTATTTTCACTCAAATAGTACTAAAATATCAAATGTGTGTGTATTTCTATCACTATCTTGCTTAGATGAAATTTCAACATAAGTTTCATTGTTGCTTTACTACTCTAGAAGAAAAAAAAAACACAAAAAAGTTAATAATCCCATTATTAGTTCTGCTGTAAACACTTTATAAATAATTAATGAGGCATAGTGCATTTTACAAAAAGGCAGTACTGAGCTGTTTGTTGCCAAATATCGATCAGTGTTTCCTTCATCAGGTAGATTTTTGCCTCCCCAAATTAATACAAGCATGAAAAGTCAGTGAAAATGAGAAAAAATAGCAAAAATAAATAAATTAATTAATAAAATAAAATAAAATAAAATAAATACACCTATTGATCTTATTGTATGTGCACCAACCTGATCAGAAAATTCCTGTTTTAAAACTGTGGAAAAATGAGAAATAATGCAAGACAGCAAAATGTCATAAAAAATAAACCAGGAAAATGAAAAGGAAGAACTGTAAAGTTGAGCAAGCACAGACCTGAGCTACTAACTGCCTGTACCAGCCAAGTAAGCTGCAATTACAACTTAATTAAAACTCCAATTTAGGCCAAGACAGGGTGGATTAGTTAGACCACAAACGGTCAGCTAAATGTGAACAAACGAGCCAACATCTGCATCTGACTGGACTGCAGCGAGAGCATTTACTGTCCACTGAAAACACTCAGTTTTTGAGTATTTTAAACAGGTTTACATGCCTGCCATTATGAAAAATGACAGCAGCACACGTGCTAAAATGTATTGGCTGGAAATAGGAGGAGAGGGAAAACTGACTGAAGGGATTGAAGGAGTGAGAGGAGGAGTGGGGACTGTGGCTGGCAGACAAAGTGGCTGCAGCCCACTAATGTAATCTGGGCTTCCAAGAACTACTACTCACTTGTCAAGGCTAAGGTCAAATGCCTGACGTTATCAAGACACAACAAAGACACAGCTATCAGTTGTTATACTGTATCCTTCTGTGCACGTGTGTGTGTGTGTGTGTGTGTGTGTGCGTACGTGTACTGAGCAACACATCTCAGTTTAAATACACAAGGAGAAATGTTTTGATCTTGGTCTGTATGATAGGGAAATGACACAATAGCATCTATGCAATGACGTGTGTACATTTCAACAGCTGGTGTGCGCACACGCACGAGTAGATACCTTTACCCCATCTGTGGAACCCTGTGGAACGTTATAACGAAGATAAATGAGCAAAGTTTCAAATATAAAATGTATCTATAAGGCTTAATAAGATAATAATGTAAATGCTGATCCAGTATTCACATTAAAACTTATCTGGGGGCAGTAATATTGTTTTACAAACTAACTACTTCGATGGGTGAAACTCGTGGGTTTTATAACTTTAATCTTTTATGAAATATGTAATTTTATTTACAATTTATTTCTCTCCCCATAGAAAAATATTAAGAACTCTAATAGCTTCAAAAATATTTTTCTTTAAAATCAGCTTCTGCATACTGAATTCTATTTATTTTTCTTTTAGTTTTAGGTATACCAATCTGCTACTTTATACTTTTAGTTAGCCTTTTGATATATTTACTGTACATTTTAACTATTGTAGTGTTTTTCTCATGGCTTTTAGCTATACTAGTGTTTTCTCAAAGCTTTTAGCTACTTTGTTTCTCAAAGATTTAGCTAATATTATCCTCATAGATTGTAGCAAGTGTTTTTCTCATGGCTTTTAGCTAGTTTTTTTCATGGCTTTTAGTTACTATTAACGTCATAGATTTTAGCAAGTGTTCTCAAAGATTTTAGCTACTGTTTTTCTCAAAGCTTTTAGCTACTGGTTTTCTCTTGGCTTTTAGATAGTGTTTTTTTCGTGGCTTTTAGCTACTATTTTTCTCATAGATTGAAGCAAGTATTTTGTCTCATGGCTTTTAGCTAGTATTCTGCTGCTTTAGACTAAATAGTTTTGCTATTTTTAACTTGCATTTTTCTTCTACCTTTAGTAGCCTGCTTCTTTTAGCTTTTAACTAGTGTTTTGCTCCATTTAGCTTTTAGCTACTATTTTTGTCATAGATTGTAGCAAGTGTTTTTCTCATGGCTTTTAGTTAGTATTCTGCTTCTTTAGGATGAAAGGTTCTGCTTTCTTTAGCTTGCATTTTGCTTCTTTTGGCTTCCACCAAGTGTCCTGTTCTTTTAGCTGTTAGCTAGTGTTTTACTCCTTTAAGCTTTTAGCTAGTCATTCAGCACTCAGCATTCCCACTGCGTTTTCATCAAAAAGGCAGCACTGGTTTCTGTAGTTGGATTTGTCTGTGATGATTCGGGACGTGCAGTCGTGACGACAAAGAACATAATCAGTGCTGAGTAAGAGATATCACCAAGAGGAGCGTATGCATCAATAAGCCTTTAACTCTGCCTTTTTTATTTTATTTTATCCTTCCCTGTCCTTAAAACATCTCTCCTCTCACAATAAAAACCTTTGTCTTCCTTTTTGGCCTTTTTTTTATTTGCTCTCTCAGCCCTCCTCATCTGCTTCTCTCTGAAGTGGCTGAAGGAGTGAAGGAAAAGGGAGATATAGTGGAAGGAGGATGCGTGGAGATAGAGAAGAGGGAGGGTATGAGAGCATGTGGGGGAGGGTAGCACTGCAATCTCTGGCAGAGATAGCTGTGACGCACTATTACACACACTTGTGCTGTGTGGCATTCAGGAAACTATGGTGGGTGAGGAGTCCTGGGGCTGGAGGATTTTCTGGATCACAAATAAAACTGGATGGAAGCGAATTTGATGCATGAGCAGATACGTGTGTAGACTGTAACATTAAAGGGGAAAAAAACAACAGTTTCCCTTTCACACACACACACACACACACACACACACACACACACACACACACACACACACACACACACACACACACACACACACACTTTCCTGCCCCCTGCCTATAACCGCGGGTGGAGACTGTTGAAACAGGAAGGAAGTCCAATCTGAACTTCCCCCCGCAGTCAGACCCACCCCAACGACAGTGCATGGCAGATTATATTCAGTCCTGTTCGTACCGATTGTGCGGCGCAGCTCCTCACACTGACTGATGTGCGGGAGTTTAAGCATCTCCTTCCATTTCTTGCTGCGGCCGTTCCTCTTTCCTCCTCCACCTGGGAGACACAAAGAGAGATTTATGTGAGCTCATCAGTCAAATCACTGCTGCAAACACACATCTTTGTCTTTTTTAACAACAAGTAGCATTATCAGCTCAGGAGTCAGAAGGCATTCAGCTAAGTGTGTGTGTCAGTGTGTGTGTTTTCACGTGTGTGTCTTGGTGTGACCAGAGGCAGATGGTTTATGTCACCAGTCGCCTCGCTGCAATATGACAGAGCATGTGATGAAGAACACTGACAGCTTTTAAAGATCAGCGGAGCTCTGTCAAACATTAGCCAAACATAACTATAAACTACCGTTCTCACACACAAACACACACACACACACAACACACGTAACACGCACTCACACAGGTGATGAGTAGTCAACTTGGTGGATCCGTCAACCAAAATGTTAGGAGTGAATAACCAATACACAACCACATTCTTCAAAGGAACTGAGCCGCTCCTTGCAGTGTGTGTGTTTACAGTACTTGATTTTACTACAGAGTGAGGACCATTGGCGCCATAGTTACTATCAAAGTGAGGTCTTCAATGTAAAGTGAGGACCTCTTCAATGTCCTCACTTTGTTTGCAGCTCTGCTGTGCTTTACTAGTTAGGTTTAGAGGTATGGTGTGAATTAAGTTTTGGTTAAGGTCAGTGTTTACTATAACCCAAAAAGTGAATGGAAATCAATGGAAAGTCCTCACAAGGATAGAGAGACATAATAAGTGGGTGTGCTAAGGTGGTATCTCACTGAGCTGAAACTGAGAGACCAACTCAAAACCACAAGAAAACTGTAAGTGAAATACATAAATTCTCAGCTGCAGTCTCACTGAACTCGAGCGTTACTGACGAAATGATGAGAGAATCAGGGGGCCACATCGAAGTTAAAAGTAGCAAATAGCTAGACAAATGTAGCTAAATGCTTGCTAAATTAAAAAAAAAACAGCTAAAATGGTAGCTAAGAGCTAAAGGCATTATAAGACAAAAAACAGAGCCAAGATGCTGAAGCAGGTTTCATAGGGAACAATGTTTTTGATGAAATTGAAGAGATTTCATCTCACATTCACAGGTTTGTTCTTATAAGAGGAACACTGCTACTGCTAAAAGGGGAAATATTTTTTTATTGGCCTGTTTTACTGGGTGTACTCACGTTAAGAAAAAATACATAAAACATTCTGCTTTGGTGTAAAAGCTGTGTGATTTGTAGTGGCTTTGGCACGTCTGGTCTCAGTTAAACTGCTCTCTTCAAAGCTCCAGCCTTTTGACAAAACCTCGGCCCTTTTTCACACTGCAGCTTGAAGCCGCACTTCCTCGGTTACTGTCATCCTGTTTGCAGGGAGCAAGAGGTGTAATGGGAAGAGAGGTCAAAGTTGGTCTACTTCCAACACATCAAGGGAAGTAGTAACAGAGTTGAATTGACGCACAATTGTCTGGAGGACAGCTGTCACAAAGCATGTTGCTCTAAGCTCGGCTCAATCTTTTTGCCAGTTTGTTGTTAAATATCACAGATTAATGCAACACTGATCTGCTTTTCTTGACAGCTAAATTAAAACACCTGTTTTTTCCCCTCTTTAGAAATAATCTGGGACAGGTCTGCAATGTTTACAGTCTAGAGCAGGGGTGGGCAATAGTGGCTCATGGGCCGTATGTGGCCCACGAGTGACTTCTCTCTGGCCCAACAATTTTTTTACTTAAAAAATGCACTCAAAGCAGCTCTTACATCAGTCTTCTTTGGATCTACCTTCATATGTGAACAGACATTCTCAGTGAAGTTCAATTAATCCAGATATAGATCCTCTGTCACTGATCACCTTTCTGGTTTTCTTTGCATCGCCACGTAAAGATTGTTTTTATTTTTACTGTTTGCATAGGAATATTTTCCTTTATCACCTACACTCACCGGCCACTTTATTAGGTACACCACGCTAGTAACGGGTTGGACCCCCTTTTGCCTTCAGAACTGCCTCAATTCTTCGTGGCATAGATTCAACAAGGTGCTGGAAGCATTCCTCAGAGATTTTGGTCCATATTGACATGATGGCATMACACAGTTGCTGCAGATTTGTCGGCTGCACATCCATGATGTGAATCTCCCGTTCCACCACATCCCAAAGATGCTCTATTGGATTGAGATCTGGTGACTGTGGAGGCCATTTGAGTACAGTGAACTCAATGTCATGTTCAAGAAACCAGTCTGAGATGATTCCAGCTTTATGACATGGCGCATTATCCTGCTGAAAGTAGCCATCAGATGTTGGGTACATTGTGGTCATAAAGGGATGGACATGGTCAGCAACAATACTCAGGTAGGCTGTGGCGTTGCAACGATGCTCAATTGGTACCAAGGGGCCCAAAGAGTGCCAAGAAAAGATTCCCCACACCATGACACCACCACCAGCAGCCTGAACCGTTGATACAAGGCAGGATGGATCCATGCTTTCATGTTGTTGACGCCAAATTCTGACCCTACCATCCGAATGTCGCAGCAGAAATCGAGACTCATCAGACCAGGCAACGTTTTTCCAATCTTCTCTTGTCCAATTTCGATGAGCTTGTGCAAATTGTAGCCTCAGTTTCCTGTTCTTAGCTGAAAGGAGTGGCACCCGGTGTGGTCTTCTGCTGCTGAAGCCCATCTGCCTCAAAGTTCGACGTACTGTGCGTTCAGAGATGCTCTTCTGCCTACCTTGGTTGTAACGGGTGGTTATTTGAGTCACTGTTGCCTTTCTATCAGCTCGAACCAGTCTGCCCATTCTCCTCTGACCTCTGGCATCAACAAGGCATTTCCGCCCACAGGACTGCCGCTCACTGGATGTTTTTTCTTTTTCGGACCATTCTCTGTAAACCCTAGAGATGGTTGTGCGTGAAAATCCCAGTAGATCAGCAGTTTCTGAAATACTCAGACCAGCCCTTCTGGCACCAACAACCATGCCACGTTCAAAGGCACTCAAATCACCTTTCTTCCCCATACTGATGCTCGGTTTGAACTGCGGGAGATTGTCTTGACCATGTCTACATGCCTAAATGCACTGAGTTGCCGCCATGTGATTGGCTGATTAGAAATTAAGTGTTAACGAGCAGTTGGACAGGTGTACCTAACAAAGTGGCCGGTGAGTGTATATCACATCCCAAAAACATGTGCATTAGATGGCCCTCAGGTCCAGGCCGCCCTTGAAAAAGAGATCTGTGATTTCAATGGGATTTGCCTGGATAAATAACGATAAACATAATAAATAATCACAATTTCATATATTTATATAAATATTTACAACATATCCTTGTCCTATAGCAACCCATATTGAAATTTATTAGCATTTTTACAAAACAAAAGACCAGATTTAAGAAGAAAATGCCAAAAAAAATGCATTACTTTAATAAACACTACACAATACACAACTAGTAACTTGGCTTATTTTTCCAAAACATCCTTTTTGTATGACTTAACATAGTAATATCTGCAAATATACCTTTTTTCCCTGCATTTATAAGTTGAAATATTAAAATTCTTTAATTTTCAGATGGGTTTTAGATTATGGAAGTGGCTAACAAGCTAACAAACTATTAGCTGACTAATGTTTGTTTCATATTTTTAGTTGAGTTGTTTCAAAGATTATTCTGTTGTAGATGTTTTGTTCACATATTTAAAAGAAACAGACAGGAAAACTCCTATAAGCAGACTTTTATTTTGTAGTTTCAAATATGAACACGATTTAGCTCCGTGTTATTTTTGGTCAAAGCCAAAGAGAGCCACTGCTGAGGGACCAAAGAGCCGCATGTGGCCCCAGAGCTGCAGGTTGCTGATCTGAATAACACAAACTCCACTAGCAGAGAGCTTAAAGCAAAGAAAACACCTTAAAAATACAACAACAACAAAAAAAAAGCTTCAGAATTTGCTGAAGATTAAATATTTTCAGTCACTTTGTGTTAAACATCAACAAGTCAAATTAAGATGTTTCCAACAGAAACAAGTTTGTTTGTTGGAAACAACTGGTTCAGTTGTTTCAACTCTGTTTTCACATCTATAGAAGTAAAGAAAAGAAAAAACCAACAGCTGAAACATGGAACACTTTAATCTACATTTAATAAAAGCTGCAGCTGTGAAAGCACGGTAAAGTTCACAGCTGGCTCTGATATGAAAAGTTTAAAAAGCTTTCAAAATGTGCAAAAAACGATAAATTAATTAATAAAAAAACAGCACTGATGGAAGGCATGATTGACCAAAGGAGTAAATTTTTTTTGATATTTTAGTTTAGAATGAAACACTGACAACAAATTTTGCTTTTAACTTGTCATTAAAGTAGCTGAGGACTGAAGCGACAATTTTAGACTCGATAAATCTGTTTCCTGAGCTGCAGCTTTCTTTCAAACACTGAAAAGACTGAAACGCTTTTACTCAGTCAGTTTTACAAATACTGAGCTACAGTTTCATGTGGTAGTAGCTGAGAGTCCTTCACAAGATCTTTCAGGAACACTCAGGCTTTAATTTAAAAACAGAGACTTCAGTTAAATTTAAAAAACAAGGACAAAAAGAAACATCCCAGTTACAGATTGAGCAAGTTTAAACTCTCCGGTATCTCTGTGCTCATACTCTGATGTTGTTGCCATTACTTCATGACACAAAACTGACACAAGCTCAAGCCTGACATGTATTTGACACCGACAGAGAAGGAAATCCTCTGCCCCAAAGTTCATGAGACACCAGCTGTCCTGTCGGTGACATCTGACAGCATCAACACCAAACAGGAGGGTGGGGTGGGGGGAGTCATCATGGTCAAACACCTGCAAACAACAACCTCACTGACACTTTTTATTTTATTTTTATTTTATAAAGTGTATTAATTTAAAACAAAACAACATAAATTTAATATACACTAAAAATACAAATCATAAATTAAATGAAAGGTAGCAGAAGAAGAAAGATCTTGTGATTTCTGCCCCTTTTTCTCAAGTAAATAAATTCAATCAAAGATAATCTTCATTTTACAAAAACGTACACAAAATGAAAGAAAGACAATGAAGGTTTAATTCCTTCTTGAGCAA